ACCTGCCTAGAATTTCCCAGTGGCTCACTGGTGGATCACTAGTCTAGATGTGGTCCCTAGGTTTAATCCCTTGTACTATCCCAAAAAGTAAAACTAAACTCATAGTGAAGTATGACCTCAGGAGAACATTTTGAGGCAGTTAGAAAGCCTTAGAAACAGAGGATGCTTCAAAGGACGCCCTCCTGACAGGAGACAGGGCAAAGGTACTCCTTTTCTAACAGCACCAGCCAGTTGTTAGCAGGGGGGCATGGAACCTCCCGTTGTCCAGCCATCCACTGTTCGCCATAAGGAAGAAGGCAGATGCTCATGAGATAATACATAGGACCAGCTATGGTGGTGTACACCTAAAATCCAGCACTTAGGAGCCTGGATCTGAGAATATGAGTTTGATGCTGATCTGGCCTCCCAAGCCAGACCCTGTCTCAAAAAATCTAAACAACAGAAATATGGAGTGCTGATCTGACAGAACTTAACTGTGTATTTAGGGGCTACCGATTTACAACTGATACCCAGTATTCTCTATCAATCGATCTATCTGTCTGTCTGTCTACCTACCTACCTACCTACCTACCTACCTACCTACCTATCTATCTCTGAAATGAGTTTGCCCCCCACCGCCACCATCCTGCACTTTACATAGAGTTAAATTTAACTCTATTGGTGTGGCTGTGACCTGTGTCAGCCCCTAGGGATCTTGCAGGATGTGCCAACCGAGTGTGTCTCCGGTGTCAGGGCAGAGCTGTGTCCCTTCCTCCCACCCTACCTCACACAGCCTCAGCACCTCCTCAACAATTTCCCTCCCAGGCGGCAGGGCACAGGTGGGGAGGGCTGTTGGGTGACAGGAGCAGGTATAGGGAACGCTAGCCCTCTGCCTGAAAGCCAGCTGGCTTCTATCCCCAGTGCAGTGTTGGCCTGGCCTGGGTGTGTGAGAGGTGAGGGGGCAGAGGCTGGGGCAGGTCATCAGAGGCAGAGCTGTTTGTGGGTTTCCAGGTTCAGGGAATTTTCAAGGTTACGGTCCCTTGGGAAAAGCCGAGTTCAACTGAGGCTTTACTGTGGGACTTGCCATGCTCTGTATGTGACACATGTCACTAGACATGGAGTAGACAGGCAGTTCCCCTTACTTCCTAGGCTGCGGGTCTCTTAACCCTTTGCAGCACAAGCTCTGCAGGGGTGTTAGCTCTGCTCCGAGGGACTCACTTTGAGGCCCTCGGGGATGCTACAAGGGTTGTGGCAACAATCAGGCCCTGGGTGCTGGGCCACTACGCCTCCCTGGCAGCACCTCCAGCTATACCCTCAGCAAGGTTTGACTTAGCTTGATCAAGAAGGGGGCAGCTCCAGAGCAAAGCGACCTGGATTTCCAGCAGTCATCACAACACCAGAAGCAGGGACCTGAGCCTGGGGGCTGGATGAATAAGGAGGTAGCGTGGGGTAGGGCATCAGCAGTTACTAAGTCCAGAAACTTAGAAGAGGACCACACTGTTGAGACCTATGATCCACTCAATTCAGACCTGCTGAGAGCCTTGTGGGTTGGCTTCCTGGCCCTACCATTCCCTCCTGGGCATCCAACAGCTTCTTCCACCTCAGAGGACCCAGAAAACCTGGCTAAAGGGATGCTGTGCCTATTGTACATTAGGAAAACAGGAACAGCCGGTCTTCATGGCCAGCCCACAAAGGCTGCTCCATATTTACTTGCTGACAACAAGAAAAAAGATTAAAATGGTGTTTACCTGTCTCCTCGTGCGCTCTTCAGGGTCCCCAGCAGCCTCTGAAAGTAAAAGAAAGTGAAGTCTCCCGAGCTTGGCCACACCCCCTTCCTCTCTGTGGCTCTGAGACCAGCAGATGGGTGATTGGCGAGTGGGGAAGAGAAGCCATGGCGGAGAACAAATTGGAAGGGATGTTTGACTCTGCGGTCAGGTCTTAGTTTGTGGATCTGCTGGGTCTGTTGAGCCTCCAAGCCTCTATGAAAGCTCGCTCTTGAGAGCTCCCGCCAACTGCGAAGGAACAAGTCTTCTTGAAGGTGGCGTTAGTTTGTTGATAGCATCTCACTGCCATCAAAGGCAGCAACAGGGAATCTGGCCCTGGGCCTGGATGCCTGAGCATCTCCACAAGCTGGGGAAGAACCAGAGCTCTGGGGAAGGAGGAGTTGCTGGACGGAAGTCTTTTCTGCTTGAGATTTGTCTATCTATCTATCTATCTATCTATCTATCTATCTATCTATCATCTATCTATCTATCATCTATCTATCTATCTATCTATCATCTATCTATCTATCATCTATCTATCTATCTATTTATCTATCTATCTATCAATCAATCTATCTATCATCTATCTATCTATCTATCTATCAATCTATCTATCATCTATCTATCTATCTATCTATCTATCTATCTATCTATCTATCTTGGAACTTTTAAGGCAGGGTTTCTCTGCATAGCTCTGGCTGCTCTGGAACTCACTCTGTAGGCCAGGCTGGCCTTGAACTTACAGAGATCCACCTGCCTCTGCCTCCCAAGTGCCGGGATTAAAGACATGTGCCAACATGCCTGGCGCTTGATTTTTATTTCTTTGCAATGGTATACAGGCACTTGTATATGTTTGTATGTGTGTGTGTTATGTGTTGTAGGTGTGTACGTATGTTGTGTGTTTATGTGTGTTATGTGTTCTATGTGTGTTGTATGTTGTGTTGTTGTATGTGTGTGTTGTGTATATTGTTTGTGAATGTGTGTGTTTGTATTCATGTGTTTTGTGTGGTGTTTGTATGTGGGGTGTATGTGTGTGTGTGTGTGTGTGTTTGCACCTTCGCTTGTGTAGAAGTCAAAGGAGAACTTGTG